TATATATATATATATTGGTTATCCTTTAGGATGTGAAGGTATATTATAAAACTAATGTCATTGAGTATGATGCCAAACAGTTATTCAGATGTAGCTCATTATCTTGTCAGGAGTTCAATATGACATGTTTTCTATTACTGCTAGATTTTAAATTCTTATGGCTACTTTATTATTGATAGAAGTTTTCTGATTGGCCAAATATAAATTAAATAAATAGCAAGAAAAAGCAAGAATTAAATCTTTGTTGCTCCTTAGTGGAAACTTTATATACTTCGATCTAACCATTGTATGTGGCATTATTTGCTTTCCCAAGTGGATTCAATGAATTTTTATTTGCATTTCGCACTAATATAACAAAATATATGGATTCAAAATCTTTTTCAAAAGTTCTGTGTGCCCTTGAATGATAAAAATATGAAGTATGTGAACAGAATATAGCTGTTCTGCGTCACATACTGTAAAGGCGATGCAATTTTGACTAGTGTAAAGATTTGCATAAAACAAAATAAGACAGGAAGTAATTTATTTTCAATCAAAAGTTTCATGCACTAATTTGTCTGAAGTATCTAACAAGCTATCTTTCTTAATTGTGAATCCTAAATTCAAGTTTAACTGGATCACGGGAGTAAGTGTTTGATGATATGTCTCAAATGCTAACCAAGTAAATTTTAATTCTCTACTTCGGAAAATGTTTCTCTTTTAAATGAATTTGTGTCTTAGTTTCAAATTTGAAAAAAGTAAGCCCCGAAACGGGAAAAATCAAAGTTAAAGTCTAATAGATAAATGAATATGAATTCTTCAAATTTTGAAAGTCATATACAAGTCTTTTTAGTTGAAGTGTGTCAGATATTTAGGGAAGTCCAAAATTAGAAAGAGTGTCGCAAATTAGAGCAAAGCGGTTATTGACCTTGATGTGTCACATTTGCTGCAAACCATCTTACGTTGCACTTTTTCTGTCAGTATTTTTAAAATCCTAGCTCCCTCCATGTAAACACGAGTGTGTTATCCTATATTAACTGTTCTGCTAGCCAAAATCATTTAAATTGGAATCAAGGAATAATTCTATAATATCCCCTGTAGTAGGACTTAAAAATAAAGATATAGCATGTAAAAATTGACATGAATCTGTGTCCGGTATTCTAGGAACGGTTGGGTATCAAATAGGTTACAAGACCTACGAGCTGTACTTCATTGAGTGAATACTTTCAATGGGGAATTTAGGAAAAGAAAGAAAGGAGAAACTAAGAGATAAATCTTTTCTATTTTAAAAGAGAGAGTATCTGTAATTTCCCCAAGCAATAAAGTTACTAATAGCACTGTGTGATGTGTGGGTTTTTATTTTTCCTTGCTTCTTTGTAGGTGTTCCTCAACATGTGCATCTCTCGCTATCACCTGAAAAGACTAGAATCGGGAACTGCTATTGGTGCAATTGGAGCTCAGAGTATTGGGGAACCTGGGACACAGATGACATTGAAAACCTTTCACTTTGCTGGAGTTGCAAGCATGAGTATCCTTGTTTATTTGGAGCTTAATTTTGCATCTTCAAGTTGGTTTTTTTGGATAGTCTAGATGGGTTTTGATCATATTATCCTGTTTCTTTAACTCTTTGGTAGACGTTACACTTGGAGTTCCTCGAATAAAAGAAATTATAAATTCAGCAAAAAAGATAAATACTCCTATTATTATTGCAAAACTTCTGTCTGCTGCTAATTTAACTGCAGCAAGGATGATTAAAGCCCGCATTGAGAAAACTCTTTTGGGACAGGTAAGTTAATTGTATTTGCTAAATCTTTTTAGACTTAATGCCTCAGTTGACACCTCAACTTATTCCGTTCTGCAAAGCTGGCCCCTAAGTTCCGTTTTTTTCCGTTTAAACACCTGTACTTGGTAAAAACACATTTCAAACGCTTCTGAAAATAGAAATAGCACGTATCTCTCAATCACTCTTATTTGTTATACACATCGTATAACTTTTTGACACATCACAGACAAAAGAATGACACGTCAAGGCATACTATAATTGGCAACACATTCATCTGGAAGCCATTCCTCTCCTTCCCCTTGACTGCCTCTTTATTCGCCAACTCCAACCACCACTCCCTTGACGACCTTATCTCCTTTGCACCTTCTCTACGTCCTCTTCTCCTCCACCATTTATCACTGCCAGCGCCCTCAAGCGGGCATCCCAACAGCACCAGGCCTCCACCTCTTACTCACCTCCACCCTCATTGCCTTATCACCACTGCCACCACTGAGCATATTGCCTCCACCTAAGTTGTTTGGACTCGGGTGCGGGTGTCCGATATGGGTGCGGATCTAGAGGTTGGATCTTTCATGATCTAAATTTTAAGATTCGGGGGTACAGATCTAGGTACGGTTGTGGGTGCAGGGATTCGGCTAAAAATAATTCAAATATCTAAAAATAGAGTTATATAAAATATTTTTAAATTATGAGACATTATGTGAAAAACCTACATGGTATTCCGAGAAGGAGAAAAATATTGATCAAAAGGAGAATCTGAGGAGATAAGAGGAAAAGGACCGATATAGAAATTTTTATGTACAAGGTATTCCATTTTCTTCAAATTCATCTTGGCATTTATTTTGATTTAAAAAATCATTGTATCTGTCCCGAATTTCTCCTTCGATTTTGGTCAAAGTATCCAAAATCAGTTGACCAAATCTGATACGGATCCTACACCCACACCCATGTCGTGTCGACACGGGTGTGGCACCGAAAGTGAAGAGTCCAAGCAACTTAGGCCTCCACCACTTCCTTTCTTGCATACTCTTCACCTCCACCCGCCTACAGTGCTCCTTGTGCACGCCCACCACTGCCCTCCTAGCCATTTTGCTTTCTTTGTTGACCGGCAGGATCCCTGTTTTTCAATCACGAATCTAACCTCCTACAACTCTTAAAGGTCCGGTCTGCTCTTGTTGGCTTCAAAATTCAAGTTGGGTAAGAGTGGTATGGATAGAACTCAAAGGATGGGATTTGGAGTTGGGGATATTGAAGATCATGAGGCATGAGGAATTTGGTAATTTGATTATTTTGACCTTTGGGTTTTAGGCCAATTCTACAGAAAAATATTAAATTTTGATGGCAGCAGAAAGCATAGCAGTGTTTGGAGAGCGGTGACCAAAGAAAAAGAAAGTAGAAAGAAAGATAACAGGGATGATTTTCTTCATATTTTCTTTCCACCCATGCTTTTAAGCCACATCATCGGAACCTATGCCTCATGAGCATGGTCAATGGTCGAAGGTGTTTAAAATATGTGTTTTTACCAAGTATAGGTCTTTAAATGGGAAAAAGGGGAGTCGGGGGCCGTCTTTGCAGGCCAGGACAAGTGAGATGTCAATATAGGTATTAAGCAGTTTTTTTCATGATATAATAGCTGCTTAGTTACTTGAACTGCTTACTGTGCAAGAATGCTGCCAGAGATGGTTGCTTTTTTTTTTTTTGCTTCATAGTTTGCATCTTCAACTAAATCATTGATAATAACACTACCGAGCCCTAGTTGGATTGCTACACTGCTTCTTTCTCAGAAGCTTTTATCAAATGTCTCCTATTAAACCACCACTCTGTTGAACTTGCCTTTAAGTGTAGGAGGTCAAAGGAACATCAAAGAAAATAAAGGATTAGAGTAAGATAGCTCTTAAAGAGTGCAGCAGAGATGCATTATACACAAAAATTAGTGGCAATTATTTCAGTTTAGGGTTTTCTGTTCCTTGATATTAGTCATAAACTAGCTTCCTTGTGTTTGTTCGTATCATTTTGAATGCTTGAAATATTAATAGTGTAGTTCTTTAGTGCAACTGAATTAATATTGCTAACTTAATGAAGCTTAAGAAATTCTCCAAGGGAAAAATCCCCAACAGAAAAGCTGTAACAAGATTGTTTGCCTTGCAAATTGAACTTTNCGACCACTTTGAATATTTTCCGGCTGCAACAGTAACTTTCCAACTGCTACAGTAGTTTACTATTATGGTTCAGTGTTCCTTACTCTATTTTCAGTGGGTTACAGTTGATTATTTCTCTTATTTGGTAATAATTTACAAGATGTCTTTGGGAATTGATGTTTTTGGGTCTAAAAGCATGAGTTCTGGAAACTCTAATGTTATGATTACCTCGGAACCTTTAATGGGAGGTTCAAACTACTTAGCTTGGGCTTCATCTGTCGAGTCATGGTGTAAAGGTCAAGCTGTGCAAGATCATCTGATTAAACAGTCTAGCGAAGGAGATGAAAAGGCGATAGCGCTTTGGGC